AGGCCACAATGCTGCATAGATAATGTTAACACAGAGCAACAAACAGCCTAAGTAACTTTGACATAAACCTTATTGTTGATATATGATGAATGTTAAACAAGGAGGCTATTAGACTGAGGTGGTTCTAATACCTTACTTAGCAGCCTAACAAAACCAAAGCCAGTAAAGGCCTCAAGGTTAAGAAGTAAAAACCGAAGGACAACCAATCACAAACAGCCAAGGAGGCTTTTTCCAAATAAGGCAAATGCTTAAGCTATAACCAAATTGTCCTTGCTTTGCTCCCACCTTTTCTCTATGTAAGTCCTGTTGGTGGAACGCTCCTATCAGTGGAATGCCCCATTGGTGTGCTGTTGCTATTGGTGGAGCAGTCCTAACCACTTCTGGCTGGGCACTGCCCAATCCGAATAGATCTGTGCTCAATAGACTCTTAAAAATTTTAATATGCCCAACTCAATTTATCTTTAAACATAAGTAAAACATCGTAAATCAATAGAAAAAAAAGATATTCAACGAACGACATTGGAAAATCATTTATTAATTTGAAAGTTAGTGACAGTCTCTCTGACTTTTGCTCCTCCAGTCTTTCCAAGATATTTTTACAAGCTCTCCAACCCCTTTATTAACTCCTTGTGTTTGAAATACCTAGCATATTTTCTATTTTTTTACCTGAATCTGAGCTAATACATTTTTAGAAAATATTTTCTTTTACCTTGAAATGTACACAATACAATAATAATACACAAAAAATTGTTTTTAAAGTTAAATGAATTTAGAAATTTGCCCCATAATTGAGAAAGTACTCACACCTGTATCCTTAACTGGACTCCAGGTGGCAGCAGAGAGTTATTCACACAATCAAATATTACATTTTAACCGAAAGTGTACACTTCGGTTGTTTTTTCAATACTGTTCTGTTCCTTCTATGACTAAGCCCTGTTTTACAAACTGGGTGGCCAGAATTAGGAAGGCACTCTGAGGTCATACCAAAAAGCCAAAGCAAAGATTTAAATGATCACTTTTGTATCATTAAAACAATTCTTAAACTAGATAAACCCGCTAACCACAACTAATATACTGTTGGCTAAGCATATTTAACCAGTACATATTTACAAAAACCTGATGAATATAAAGCACTTAACTATTTTAGGACTTTCTACTCTTAGAAGTATAAAAAGTATATATGAAGAACCATAGTTATTTAGCCACATTTTTAGAACATCTGATATGCATTAGAAGTATATCAGTGTTCCAGAAATCATTGAAGACAGAACGTACTATGAAAACATGTTTTAAAAAATTCATGGAATTCTGAATTATCCTCTCAATGTAAACAACAAATATTCTAGATAACATGGGTAAAATACACCTATAAACACGTGGTAGGGGATATTGAAACCAAAACAACACTGAAGTGTGCATACTGAAGCCAGCCTTCACTCCAGCACATTGGTGAACCAGGTGAGTTGGAACCTTGGTTTACACCTCTTTACAGGGCACCGAGAAGAGACACTGCCTAGGTCTTCCTCAGCATGGCAATTCTAAGTAAGGTTGAGATACGTGAGGGCTACCACTTCAGGGCAAGAACAAACTAGAAGTAACCTCCTGGAACGCTATACCCCTTCCCACCCCATAGAAAGTGAAATGCCCTGTGTCTGGAAACTCGGTTCCAAGTATAGGGAGGGAAAAAATTTCTTAGAAGCATAAGATGGCCCACATAGTTTTATGACTCAAAGTCATACATCTAGTTGAGAATTAGATTAAAGTGGTCACAAATCCAGGAGTCTCACAGAGGAAAAATATAAATATTCTTTACTATAACCCATTTGAATTTCAGACTTCACAGAATTCCCACAAAAGTAAGAATTCACAAAAATCATGAAACCCAAAAGTAAAAGACACATCATAAGTGACAGCCAGTACTTATTAGACACTCAAAGATGGAAGATATGGAAATTGTGAAATATAGAATATAAATTAATAATATTTAAATATGTTATTTAACACATAAGAATAACCATACTGAAATTATGAACAAAGAGCAAGAGTTGTAAAAACAAAAATTAAATAATCAAGCATAGAGCATCAAATAGAATTCCTAGTTATAAAAGGCATGTGATACTTAAAAACTCAATGGAAATGGATAAAATAGTAATAAAAATATGTAGGGGGGTTTAAAATATAGAATTAAGATATAGAACAGCAATAATGCATACATTATTAAGCCTTTATTTCACCAGACTTTTGAGTTTAAATGAAATAGACAAGGTCCTGGACAAATATCTCACTATATCTAACTCAAAAGAAATAGAAAACCCAAATAGTCTTATAATTGTTAAGGAAACTGAATGAGTCAAAAATATGTCAATCAATCAATCTCTCCAGGCCCAGTTGGATCCTTTTGCAAATCCTAAATATTCAAGGAAGAAAATTTTCCAATTTTATGCCAATGATCCTAGGGAACAAACTAGTCATGACAGTCCAACTCATTTTGTGAAGCTGCCATGATACCAAACCCAGCAAGGACAGCAAAAAAAACCCCAAAAACAAACAAACAAAGAAACAAATTTAAAAAGGTTACCTCACTGATGCATGTAGATTTAAAATATCCTAAGCAAAATATTAACACATTAAATTCAACAACAATTTTTTAAAGATTTTATTTATTTATTCTTAGAGAGAGGGTAAAGAAGAGAGAAAGAGGAAAAGAAACATCAATGTATGGTTGCCTCTTGTGCACCCCCTACTGGGGACCTGGCCTGCCACCCGGGCATGTGCCCTAAATGGAAATTCAACGGGCGACCCTTTGGTTCACAGGGCAGCATTCAATCCACTGAGCCACACCAGCCAAAGAAAACTTTTCAAAAAATACATATCATGATCAAGTTGGGCTTATACAAAAAAAAGCTTGATTTAACATTAAAAACTCAATTAATTTTACCACATTATTAATTATAAATAGGTTAAGGAAAAAATCAAATGGCCTCTCAGTAGATGCATAAGATTCTCATTTTATAAAATTGAAATGCTTTCATGATTTGTTTTAAAAAGTCTCTTAGCAGAAGAAATAGCCTGAGAGTATCTACAGCAAGTATTATGGATAATATTCAAACATTATATTCATTCCCTGTAAGATTAGATATAAAATAAGTATACTTGCTGTCATCACTTTATAAAATTGTTGATATTTGACTTTTTTGACTCCAAGAATGTCAATTTCATATGGTTCAACATAATAAAAATTGATAATGATTACAGATATCTTTAAAGCACTTGATCATATCTGAATTCTGCAGTCAGGAGACAGAAAGCTATGCACCTAAATACTAAGATTGGAGCATTAGAAGCCCCAGTAGTCTAATAGATAAGGCACTACCCTCCTAAATACTAAATAGGATAATTAATGGACAGAAAAAAATACCAAGGAGTTCCATGAATATGTGAAAGTGTTTGTTTATTTAACACGAGATAATATCGTACATATCATGTGCCAGGCAAAGATCAGTTCATTTCATCCTCAGAGCAGGCCTATGAGGCAGGTACTTCTGTGATCCTCATTTGACAGGTATGAAAACTGAGACAGAGAGATTCAATACTTTGCCTGAGGTCACAGAGCAATTAAGTGGCAGAGTCAGGATTTGAACCCAAATAGTCTAACTCCAGAGTCTTTTTTTAAAAAACACACACTATGCTAACTCTCAACTACAATATTGTGCTCAACTGCTAATAAAAAGAAGGAGGAGAGAGAATGACTGTTGAGTGACCAATATCTGCCACAAGTATATCTACCATCGTCCACTCATTTTGCAGTTCTTAGTTGATTGCTAATTACGTACCAGGCATAGTGCTAAGAGAGGCAGGACACTGCAGTGAATAACACAGACAACATCCCCAATAAGGCTTACAGTCTGGCATAGAACAGAGATATGTAACGAGGAACCACATAATTAAACACAAATGTGTTAAGTGCTATGAAAATAAGTATGCAATCAATGCACAATTTGCTGGAATAAAAAAATATTTCTTTATGGGCACATACAGAAATGAAAGAAGAGATTAACAACTACTAGAAGAAGGACAAGGTCTTTATGAAGCCTAAAAAGTAATCATTGAAGACTATGAATTTTCCATTACATAGGGGAGTGAAGCACCAGTCTGGCAGGTAGAAGTGTCCTCATCATTAGAAAAGTTACTCCATCAAGAGCCAGAGATGACTTACTGGGATTTAACATGGACCCAATGAACTCTCTCCTAAGACTATCTGACCTTCTTCTATTCAAGTACATTTTCACCAGGCTGGATTATTTCATCATGTGCCCAGCACTGTGGATGCCCGATTGGGATCTTCCAGTATCTGGAAAGTTATATCCACCACAATAGTATGTTATTTTGTTCAATTTAATGTGAGCATGAACAATCTTAGGCCTAATCCCTTTTCAGGAACCTGATTATTGAGAAAACAGATCTTCAAAGGTAAGCACGAGATGACAGAAGAGGATCTATGGAAAGAAACCTCATAGGGTGATCTGATCATAAATTCATGACTGGGCAGGTCATGGTGGGTAGTCACACCCCAGTCATACAACATTTTAATAAAAGGTTTATCTTTACCTCAAGCAAGCCACAGCCATTGTTTCTGTGCATCTAGGTTAACATACCTTTGAAACAAACTGTAATCATCCTCAAGAGAGCACATAATCTTGTTAACCTGTAATCCAATCTCCACCTTGCTTTCTACCACCTCCATATAATATTCCTTACATTCCCCCTTTGATTTTAAATGCATAAAAGTAACTACAAAACTATCATTACGAAGAGCATTTGAGATCTTGCTTGCTGGCATATGTCATCAGTTTTTCTCAAATAAACTCTTATAAGAATTATCTACAGGTTTGAATTTTTTTACATCAATGTAACACAGATTGGGAAGCCATAATGAGCTACACTCTGTTCACTCCCAAGATATAAAGCTGGCCTTGCCCCAGACAGCATTAAAAACTCACCCTGTACATTCCTCTGATAATAGCTATGGCATCCGCCAACTGCTGATTGTAGCATTTTCTTATGTTATCCTCATTCTGCAATCCAAAAATAAGTACAGTGAGCACCACAATGTATTTCTGAAAACACCTCTCATACCTATCAGGGAGGAACTCAGTATAAAACCATTCAAATCATTACAACTCCTTAAAAACTTTATATTATAATCATTTCTCCTATGCTACAGCTATTATAATACATTCCATTTTTACTTATATTTAACCAAAGCAATATAGTCTACATGGATAAAATAAATACAGATAATTTGAAGATTTTATTTCATTTTACATATCAAAGTCTTTTTAGTGTATTTCTAGAACTGCTATTAAAAGTAGTAAAATCTATTTGCATTCATAACCTCTTCTGGTACTTCTGCTTCTTGAATGGGAGAGCTAAAGAAAAGAAATCTAGAGCCACGAATCCATAAACTGTGTATTGTCTTATTAATCAAATCATTTGACCATCGTTATTTAGAGTTACAATGAACAATGGTACATTTAGAAAAATACCCTTGATTCTGATACCAACGCTGATTCCAGCATGGAGTGTAAACAGCAGTAGGTCTAGAGTCAGAAAGAATCAGGTTTCAGTATCATTGTGCCATTTACTTACTATCTGTCTTCCCTCAAGCAAATTACCATATTTTGCCATGTATAATGCACACTTTTATGCCCAAATTACTGAGGGAAAAATAAGAATACCCATTATGCATGGGTCTAAAGATTACATGTCAAGAGTATAATAACCCCATGTATAATGCACACAAAAATGTGGGTGTGTATTATACACAGCAAAATAGTACTTAATTTTGGCAGCTCACTTCTTTTTTTTTGATAAAGATTTTATTTATTTTTGTAGACAGGAAGGAAGGGAGAAAGAGAGGGAGAGAAATATCAATGTGTGGTTGCCTCTTGCATGCCCCCTTACTGGTGACCTGGTCTGCAACCCAGGCACGTGCCTTGACTGGGAATTGAACTGGTGACTGGTTTGCAGGCCTACTATCAATCCACTGAGCTACACCAGCCAGGGCTGGCAGCTCAGTTCCTACAGATCAGGGATAATAGCATTTCCATTTCAGGATTATTAAGGGACTTGAGAAAACTGATTTAGACGGCTTATGATACTTAAGTTACTGTGGTCAACAATAGATGGAGTTGGATTTTTTGTTTTATAACAGAGAAGTAAGAGTGATGCCTATTCATAATGACAGATAAATATGCTAATTTGGCCAAAGATTTTAAGAAATTCCTCAAAGCAGCAGAGTTCTCATGTCTTTGTCTCCCAAAAAGCCATTAAAGCACAAGAGCACATAAAATTGTGGCTGAGAGCCAGGTCATCAAACTGGCCTGGAGCCTAAACTCAGCAGTTTTAAACTGGTGATTCTGAGCAAGTTAATTAACCTTTCTGTGCCTCAGTCTCCTCATCTATAAGAGCGGGATAATAGCGCTACTTAATAAGGTTAGTGTAAGAATTCAATAAATTCATATACAGGGTATTTAGAAAAGTTCCTGACACACAGCAAAGCTGTATGTATTATATAGGTCTATGTAGCTCTATGTTGCTATTATATGGAGCACAAACATGCAAATTAAATTGCCCTCAAAAGTTGCTAAGTTCAAGACTGTAGTATCTACATATCTAGGCACAAGATCAACACACACACACACACACACACATGACAGTACTTCTACCTGTTGATAATGTTTTTCAATCATTACGATCCTGTCATGTAGAGCAGTAAAGAGATTGAAAGACTCCTCTTTAAGACGGTCCTCAAACTTCAATTGAAGCAATTGTTTCAGGAACCCAAAATCTACCTGAAAGGATTTAATAATCTAAAAAGAAAGAAAAACGTACATTATTATGCAGAGTAAGGGTCCTCTGTGTTGAGACTGTAACACCATGCCTAGTTTTTGGCATGTAACCTGGGTACCTGGTCAGGGGATTGTCCTGTCTTTCTAATTTTTAAACATTTTTACTGATATTTTAGAAAGAGAGAGGAAAGGAGATAAATATCAATTTGTTGTTCAGCTTATTTATGCATTCATTGGTGGATTCGTTCATGTGCCCTGATCGGGGATCAAACTCACAACCTTGGAGTATTGGGACAAATCTCTAATCAACTGAGCTACCTGGTCAGGGCTTGGACTGCCTTATAAGATTACCTGTCAAATACTCTGTATACAGTATTGAGAATGCTGCTAAAGGATTATAAGCTAATGGAATAAGGGAGAGGAGGTTCCTAGTAATTTCCTCTCATAGAAAATAAAACAATTGTGCTAACAATGATCTTTTGTCATACCTCAAAATGCATAGTTTTAAAGATGTGAAATTTGGATCAGAAGAGATGGGCTAAGTCACTATTTGTTACAAATCTACTATCCAACCACTTAACTGTATAACCAGGGTGTTGATCATTATTATTCATGATCATTAAAATGCTGTCCATTTAAAATGTATTCCTAGTTAATCTGCCCCTGTCCTGAATGAAAACTTTAGCCAATCCCATGACTTTTTGTTCATTCTTGAGAACAGAAGTCCTACTATGACTCAAATCACAACCTCAAAAATATCATTTGGAATATGACCACTATGAGTTAATATGACCACTTCCAACTTCATTCATAGGTGAGACTTCTCCCTGTACACCAAGAGATACGGGCAGTAGCTGCCTGTCTTTAAGAAAAAGAGTGTGATTCATTCTTGAACTCTTTCCTGTCTCACCTCTCCTTTCACACTCCAGTTGTTGGGTCTCCGACACGGACAAGGTCAAGAAGATAAAGGAGCATGGCTGTTCCTACGTGGTGGGGTGGCTTCATCCCCCCAAGACTGGCAGACCAAGAGAACTAACTTTTCTTCCCTTGGCCACTGACATCGCTTCTCCAGAGATTCCCATTGCCGGTACCCTCTTTCCTGCCAGGACCCTTTCTCCTGTGGATGCTTAGTGACCCAAGCAGATGCTTCTCTACTGTGGTGATCATGGCTGCCCCTTCTTCAGTCCCTGTGAATCTGGCGTTCTCCTTTTTCCTTTCCCTGCTATTGGTGGTCCTCTGTCTTCCTAGACCACTCTATTGAATAGGACCCAGAATATCCCACATTGGCTAGCACTCTTGCTCTTTCTTCTTCTCCTCCCCCTTTTCCCCTTCCTCCCCCTACTCTCCCTTTCCCCTTTCCTCCCCCTCTTTCTCCTCCTCCTCATCCTCCTCTTCCTTCTTCTTCTCTCTCTCATAGACCACATCTGGTCCACAGAAAACAATCACTGTGAAGTGTAAACTGATCCCAACTTAGCCATTCTGTCTTCTTGTCCCAACCCACTTTAGCTTTTTTACACACAGATCAAGCAATCGAGCACTAGTCCTCTATGTCTTCCAATAACAGAAAACATTTCAAGTTCCACAAAAGCCTGCCTTACTAGCTGTCCGCTGAGGAAGACCACTTCTGCTGCCCTAACCCCCACAAAGAGCATGTCACAAGTGCTTTCCAAAGAAACTGCTCCAGTGGTTTTTTTTTCTCTTCACCTCTTGATCCCCTTTTTTTATTGCACTTGATCTGATTTAAGAGCTGAGAGTCACTGGTCTGATGTGCAACGTTCCCTTTCCAAATTCTGCAAATGGGATCTAATTCACACCGACTTTAGAATTTGATGCTTAGAAAGCATCCTGGAAAGAATCACATTTTAGTATCTTCATGCTCTGTGCACGGTTTTATTTTGCAGGTAAGGATATCAAGACTTTGGGAAGTTAAGTAACTAACTAGTCTAATACTATGTGGCTGATAAGAGAAAAGCCCAGATTTGAACAGACACTGACTTATATTCCTTTCTCCTTATATAACGGTACTATGTTAAGAAATCATTAAAAATATATCTTAGAGCAAGTGAAGTCTTAAGAAACTCCTTTAATTGCAGGAACAAGTAGAGATGACTTTGCCTTTAGAAGAACCAGCCCTATGGCTTTGCCGACGAGAACCAGGCTGCTTGCTCGTTCAGAAGAAGGGAGGCCCAGGGATCCTGGTGTAGTCAAATAAACTCCTGTTGGACCACAGACTCCCATTGATACTATAAACTCTAGATATATAACCAAAACACAACCAACAACTCAAAAGATGCTAGAGAATAAAGAGGAAAGAAGGAAGGAAGGGAAGGGGGAGTGGGAGGGAGAAGTTAATACATAGAAAGTGCATGTAAACTGTGTCTTTAAGAAGGTTCCCAAAAGCAGCCAGATGACATTTCCATCTAAATTCTACTGACCAGAACTTAGTCATCTAGACATCCTTAGCTGCAAGGGAATGCAGTTATAAAACTTTCCCAAAGGCATTTAAAAAGACAACAAATTGTCCAGTATGTAGGAAAAGAGACAGCCTCAGATGTTAACCAGTGGGAGTGTAAATTGGTTAAGACTCTATGCAGGGCAATTTGGCAATATCCTTCAAAATGACTAATGCTTACATCCTCTGACTCAAAAATCCCCCTTTTAAGAGTTCCCACCACAGATTTGCTGGCATATGAGTACGTACAGAATTATCACAGTGAAGGATTTGAAATGACCAAAATGTCCATCAATAGGAGGACAGCTAAATACATATGCACGTTTCTGTGACATGATGCACTTGTGAAATAAATGAGGAGATCTTATTAAGGAATGATTTTCAAGTTCTACTGTTAGGTGAAGAAACAGAAACAAAGTACACAAAAGTATTGACAGTAGTGGGATGCCACCTCGTGTGACAGTTTCATGTATTAGGAAATTTAATAACAACCCTTGATATCTGACATACATGAAATGTTCTATTTCTTTACAGTCAAAGAAGTTCCAAAGGAACTATCTGACCAAGTTACATGTTAGGTAACATAGTTGTTTGTTATATTATTCTCTTCTTTCTACAATTTTTAAAAAGTATCATACATAGAAAATATTCACAGATGTCGAATTACAAAGAGAGTAGCAAAACATCTCTCTAAAAAACCATACATAAGCACAACATAAATATGCCATAATTATAAGTAATGGTTCATATTGATAATTTTTTAAATCCTCACCTGAGTATACGCACTGATTTTAGAGAGTGAGGAAGGGAGAGAGACAAAGAGAGAGAGAAACATCAAGTGGTTGCCTCACATAAGTGCCCTGACAGGGGATCGAACCCATAACTTTTTTGGTGTATAGGACAACACTCCAACCAACTGAACCACCCAGCCAGGGTCTTATTGAAAATTTTTAAAAGCACAAATGTCTTCCAATTTAGTTTGTAAAAGATGTTAATATTTTTAATTTTTTAATCATATCAGTTCTGTCAAGAAAAGAGACATAAAGGCAATTAATACTTAAAAATTATCTCAGAAGTTTCAAATTAATCCAGATTTACCTGCATTAGCTTTAGTGTAGATGAGCTTAAATCTTTTAATGGCAAAATTTCACTGGAATCCGTTTGAGTAGCATGGTCTGTGCTGAAAAAGCCAACTTTCAAATCATCTGATATGTTAAGTCTAAAAAAAGATTAAATGCACTTTATGTAGCAGATATTTCCTTAAAATATATGTTAGTTAGTATATTTTTGTATAAGTCATATTATATTTTAAAGAGGAATTAGTAAAGTGAAGAAACCTCTGAATCACTTGCTGATAATTCGGGGTTTTCACCAGGACTCTGACGGGTTATCCTATTCCCTGGACTGTGGCATTTTGCTCCACTGATACTCATTTCCATTCTCTGAGATCTGATCAATTTATAAGCCCCCTCTCAGTATCTTATCTACTGTTTTATGTGTGCTACCACTTGAAACCATTATATTATATTATGCACAGGCATAACAGGAAAAACTAGTTTAAGATGATGGTTCTCAAAGTGTGGTCTGAGGACCCCAGGGACTCCAAGACTCTCAGGGAGCCCGCAAGATCAAAATCATTTTCATAATCATATTAAGATTTTGTTTGCCTTTGCACTATAATTTTTTACAGGTGGTCAGTGGAGTTTTCCAGGAGCAGCAGGGTACATGACTGCATGGCAGATTGAATAAGAATTCTGGTATTTTTCATTAAGCCGGGCATTGAAAAGAGTTGCAAAAACCTAAAAAGTGGCACTAGTTTTATTAAAGTTTTTGGTTTGAGACTACAGTTCATTTTTCCATGAAATATTACTTATATTAACCCAGAATTGATATATCATAATTTTAAATGATCACTAGGAATAGAGAAAACATAAATTAAAGTTCTTTGACATCCCCAATTATTAAGACTGTAATGAGGTCCTGAAACCAAAAGTTTTTAGAACTGCTTCTTTGTGATGATCACGTAACTGTATTGTATTTGACTTTCAAAGTCAGTTCTTGAAAAATCTGAGCAGGCCAAGAGCAAGTATCTGTAAACTCCTCCTACTGACCTTTAATCACAAGCATTTCAAACAATAACAAGAAGGCAATATTCTGGATGCAATCTTTCTTTTTGAGGTTGATGAAACTTACCAGGCCTATTGGTTCATAAAATGTCAGCTAAAAAAAAGAAAGCTATAAAAGCTCCAGTGGAATTGTTGTTGGTAGAAATCAGGCTCAGTGGTGTGGTTTATTGATGATGTTCATTTAAGGGGGTTGTCCTCCTGACTTCCCAGTGTCCCATCTCTGTCCATTTTGCCACGGAGAAAGTCCATTTTTGTCTTCAGTATGGCCAGGATGAAGGCCACTGGCCAGAGGTTATGCTCCGTATTGAAGTCTACTCCAACATTTGGCTAGCTTAGCATGTGTTTCCAGCTGCAATCTGCTTCAGGCTCCCTCCCGGAGGCGGCGTGTGGAGCTGCATATCCGTGGGCCACACGCCATGCAGAGAACAGGTGTGTGTACCAACCAAGTGCAGGTCATGAGCAAGAGAGAGAGAGAGCTTCTTTGTTCTCCTGGGGTTACAACCAGGAGCTTAGGTTTGGGACTGACCAGGCGCTTTCTCAAAAACACCAGTCAACCTCTCAAATTTCCAGGGGCTTTGCATGGGTTTATACCTTCTAGTTAGGCCTGTATGATCCTGAGCCTCCCCCTGCACCTCCCAACAATCTGTTATTGGAGGGGGAAACGGAGGAGTGTTAATCCCCTTGGAACAGAAATGCTGTAATCCCCCGGGGTGTGAAGCTATAGTTTCCTGGCTAGCAAGTGGGTTTATGCTTCCCATTTTATTAAGTTGAATATCTAGTTCCCTTTGCTCTCTTTCCTTTATCAATATCTAGTTAAATACCAGTGGTAACAGAATTACCAGACTTTTCACTGCCATCTCTAAAGACAATGAGTCTGCACTTCTGTCTGCACAGGGGTCTGAGGGGAGAGGTTTTCTCTGGGACTGTGAACATTGTCACATGTAGAAATGGTGCCAAGAATTGGACCTTCTGGTGGTCAAGTTATCTGGTGACCACCAGAAGGTCCTGCCAGAGGGGCAAAGCCAGGACATAGATAATGAGCTTTTCAAAAGACGGAAATCATTTTGACTGATGACTGTATAAACATTGACTCAGCTAATTCTGTAACCTGTCATACCTCTGGTCTTCCCATAACATCATATAATAATGTACCTGGTGAGAGTTTCTGTCCACCGATATTCTAGCTATGTGACATAACATAATTACTTAAACTTTCTGTGCCTTAGTTTCCTCTTATGCAAAATAATAGTGCCCATTACATACAGTCATTGTCAGGATTAGTGTGTTAACACTTAGAAGTACTGTGAATGGTGCATGTCACATAGTAAGCAGTTCAGCAATGTTACCTGTTATTGACTCTGTGGTGGTGGTGAGTATGTCTGTTACTACTATGCTGTAAAATATCATAATTTTTTCATCATGTTTGGAGAATACTCTTAAGGCATAGCAATATTCATCTAACAAAGATTACTTAAATTTTTAAAATGTTTTAATATTCAGAATAATGATTTGCTATTAATCTCACTAAATTTTCAACTAATCTTCCACACATATCAAGTATACTTATGCTATACTGATGATGTATACAAGGTATACAGCAAGTACACCTTGTCAACAGTATGATCTGGGTGGGAAGGGAGCATCAGTATCTCCATTTCAATGAAAATTTCTAGTGTTTTTCCACAGAAAATTATACTTTAGATTGGGTTTAATTTATTTCAGTAGGCTGTATTCTTTCTCACTAGCCCAGTGCTATTCGGAGAAGTCTCCCTGGGCCTTGAGCGTCCCTGCACTTTCTTTCTGCACAAGCCAAGACTGTGAAGCCCTGACCATGCTTTCCACAGGCCATTCTCCCAAACTGTGTCTACAGTGAGCATGCTTGAGGATGGGATAATGTTTTCCTCCTACCAAAACAAAATAGCTATGGTGGCAGAGATGGAGTTCAAGAGCATGGTCTTCCCCTTACCAAAGCAGGCCTGGATGCGACAAGCATTGAGTGCCTAATCAATCAACAGCAAAGATCAATACTGAGTCCCTAATATGGAAGTATTAACCGATGAACAGGGATAGTCAGCCACTTGGTGGTTAGTTAATAACATTGACCCTCTGAGACAGACATATATTCTAGATACCAATTTGTATTCCTTGACCGTAATGCATCTGCCAGAACCACCATCCATTGATAAAGCATTACAGAATGCTTCATTCACCATCATAACATCATGCATAGCACCACTCCTGATCAAGGTACTAATTTTACAGCAAAATAGTGCAGCAATAGGCTAATGCCAGTGGAACCGACTGGTGTTATCACAGGTCCCATCACCCTGTATGGCTGGCCTAATGGAAAGGTAGAATAGTTTACTGAAGATGCACTTATGGCAGTTGAGAGCCCGATCCATGAAAGGATGTGGTCCTGTCTTATAGGGTACAGTACAGTGGTGCTATACTTTGAAGCAGTAGTGGTACTCCCTCTCCCTTGGTATAGGTCCAGGAATCAAAAGGTAGAAGTGCAATTTACATCTTGTGCTGATACACCTAATCACCCACTCCTGAAATTGCTTCCTGTCCCAACATGTTTATGATCTTCTAGCTTGGAGGTCTTAGTTCCCAAAGGGAGAATGCTTCCTCCCAGAAACATTTAGACAAAGGCAGAGAAAGTAGTCACTCTAGGGGCTGAAGTGACTGCTTCTGGCTGGGTTGTTGGTGTACAGTGGAGTCAGGAAAACTATGTTGGGAACTCAAGAGAGTCTCTGGGATGCCTCTTAGTTATTTCCATGCTGAAGGGGAACAGAATTTGCCACCCCAAAATATGCCTCTTTTGCATAAGCATTATCTTGAGCTGATTGCTTTTAAGAAACAGCAGGCACAGGAGAAACTCCAAGCTAAGTAGAAGTTGCCTTCTGTAAGGGACATTTGCATTTATACGAGAATTTAGACTTGTAAGGTTGTCTCTCTCCATATATATACCATGAAGAGAAGGGGGATTCAATCTCTAGAAACTCACCAGTAGAGAAGGCTCAGGCTTAAAGTTGCGTAACAACCATACTGTGCTTTGCCTGATTGCCTCCCATACCTGGCTTCCCCTCTCCCCTCTACATCTTCTTTACTCTTTTATTGTAAAAAGTACTAAAGATGGTGGCTTGGACCATTTACAGGAGTTAATTAGTTTTCCTGGTTATTGCCCATGTGTACAGGAAGTATATATGTGTGTGTGTGTGTGTATATATATATATATATATACACACACACACACATATACATACATATATATGTATATATATATTTCAAATTATCGGAGGTATATGTGTTATTAAACCTTTGTTTTTCTCCTGTTAACCTGTCTTTTATTAAAGGGGCTCTCAGCCAAGCACCCAGAAGGGTAAAACAAAAATTACATTTTCTTGCTTAAAAGAAAAAAGAAACCACACGATTTTGAAACTCGGGACCACCAGGAATGATGATTGGGAGCTCCAAGCTTGGGCAAGTTTCTCTGCCACTAGCCACATCTGAGAGAGGACTTCATTTCAGCCTTTGGGTGTCACAACTGCATTCTGCATTTGCATCTACAGTAACTGCTTAAGTCTTTTGCCACTTCACTGCCTTTTACTAGTTAAAAATCCTTGTTAATGTTTAATAAGGAAAAGAAAAAACCTCACCAGTTCAAATACTGGTGAGGTTTCTGCCTTCTGTCCACACCCTGAGTGCTGCTACCTTAGTATAAAAAATACAAACTTCCAACTAAACTTTACCTGCTTCTTTTAATCTACAATGCTGCACATTTAATGGAGCCCTGTGACTCACCCTTGCAGTCCACGAATGCAGTCCTCAACCTCCTCAGTGCCAAGCACTCCTTTTTACTATTCAACTTCATGTTTTATTAAGCTTCACATGTGTGTTCTTTTCTTCCTTTTCTTTATAAGCAAAAAAATCAATTGTGGGCAGTAGGTATATGAACTGTGGGTAGTTAGTATTGCAAATATATAATGTTACATGTCAATTCTATCCCCAAAAGCTCGAAAACAATAAAAGTACAAAAAATAAAAACCAAAAAACATTTTCAGGATATGATTTTAAAATGTACAATAATGTTTTCAGTTATGCCTTCTGGTGTCATAATACTGAAGTACTACAGTAAAATATTTTTAAATTAAGTGCAGAAATTTTACAGATACCCCACTAGAGTACCTCAAAATAATATGCGTGCCTATGTATTGAGTGCTTAATTCATCCCACATGTTTTGTTAAGACATATGCATCAACACACACATTTTCCCCTCAGGTTACACTCTCAATAATCTTTAAAAGAGATATTAACTTTCTTGTTTTGAAGATGTGGAAACTGAGGTTCAAATAGAGTAAATAACTCATCTAACATCATAAGCCTGGAGTGACGGTTCCTCTTTTCTATCCCTAGTGAGAACAGGACTGTGGCTCTAATGTTCCTCATGTCCTAACTTACTGTAGGACTGATTCAGAAAGATACAGCCCATTCAGAATCTAAGTGAAACCTGAAGGTTCATCCTTCAGTTTCCTGTCAAATCCCAATGTCTCTAATTATAGGTGAACACCCCACTGCCTAGAGTAGAAACCACATCACAACAAATTTAGCTAAGTGTTTCCTATACTGTTCTTATTTATAGTCTCAATAATTTGATTTCTAAATAATAGCTTGGTTGTTAATCTGTTAATTTGTTATAGAAAACAGATCAATGAATATTTCCTAATATAATACAATGATACTTCTCCTGAATCCTAGAATAGTCTGCCCTAACAAATACTCATTAGTGAATGAGTCAAAGAAAATGGCATTAGCGTAACCAGCTCAAAATGGTCTTATCCTATTTAACAAAATATTGAGTTGATTTTCAGAGACAACAGACCAAAACTGCAAGTCATACAGCCCAAGCTTGTGCAGAGAAGAGAATTTTGACCTCCAACTGCTGCACCAGGAACCAGAGTCCAATCCCCTTCTCTCCTCAAAACCAAAGGACAGGGACAAACCAGAACTTGAATACCAGAAACCTATCAAAAGAGCTCATCACCCAGGAAGATCCAGTGCTGATGCTCCTTTAACATAAATGGCCAAATTCCATAGTCCTTTAATTAAAACTTGCCCCCACCAGCCCTTCTGCTTATGTATTTTCCCAAGCCCCTAAAAATCCTCAAACTAGTCCAGTGAGCAAGATGGATCTGAGCCACTATTAAGTCTCCCATCTTCTCAGATGGTGCCTTTTTGATCCATAAACCTTTCCTTACTCCATGCTCTGATGTTTTGAGTTTTGGCCTTTCGAAGCATCAGCCACACAAATTTGGGTTTGGTAACATTAGGTATGCTAAACTTTTATTGTGGTGCCCTGCTCAATTTTAAATAAAGACAGTTTGCTTCCCTTTCTTCCTCTTCAAAGAATATACTATTTTGATAGGTCCCAAGGCTCAGAGAGACTTTTCTTTGTAGCCTCATTCACTTTCTAGTTTATCTCACCAAGTTTCCCAGCTCTAGATCCATCTTTGTGGCAACCACTCCCAAGTTGATATTAGCCAGCCCAGACATCTTCTCTGAACTCAGACTAGAAGGCTAATAGAATATGGCATCCCAAAATATGTCTCTTTGGCATAAGGATTATTTTGAGAAACTGCAGACACAGAAGAAGCTCTGCAAATAGTAAAGGCTGCCCTCTTGTAAGATAAATTTTTATTTACAAAGAAATCTCCATTTTAAGGGTCTCCTCTGTGCCAAGAAGAGAAGGATGAGTAGATCACAGGAAGAGGATCTTATCAATGCAGAGGGCACTGACTTAAATTGGCGAGACAAATCTTACCCTACTTTACCATACTTTCCCTGATAACCTCCCATAACACCCTGGTAACCTCCCATAACACCCTTTGTCTTTAGCTACAGGTGATATGTAAGGTGGTGGCTTCAGCTATTTCAGGGATTTACCTCATTTTCCTGTTATCTCTCATGTATACAGGAGGTATATATGTTATTAAACTTCTGTTTTCTTCTCCTGTTAATCTGTTTTATATTACAGGAGAGTGGGGGTGGAGTGAGGGTGTGTCTCAGCTAATAACCTAAAAATGTTGAGAAGAAAGTATTTTCCTCCCCTACAATGCTTAACTGTTCTCCTGGTTTCAGCCATTATCCTCATTATAATCTATTATCAAAACCACAACTGGAGAGATCCTGTTGAAAGTTTAGCCAGTGATGTCATTCCTCTGCTCCAATCCCCTCATGGCTTCCCATCTGTGATAGTGTGGTTTAAAATAAATATATATTGATATTTTGCTCTTTGTGCCTTATAGCTCCCAAAACCATTGGAATTTCCTAAACAACAAGAGCAATGGGAGCATCTTTTGTTAAATATTTGTGTCTTTTGTCCTCAGTTCCTAAAATAGCTTCAGTGTGGAAAAGGTAAACTGGTATCTTTTGTCATTCATAACAAACTTCTTTCAACATCACCTGAGCACTTGAGTTTGTTAATGAGGGACTTTTGGACAGCCCTTAAGGATGGGGCATTTTTCAGAAGAACCAGCCACTACTAGAGAGCTGGACCTTTTGGTCCCACTCCCCAGTCCTACCCCCAGAAAGGGGCTGGAGGTTGAATCAATCATCAAAAGTGAATGATTTACTCAAACTTGCTTACATAATGAAATCTCCATAAAATCCCTAAGTTACAGGGTTCAGAGAGTTTACAGGTTGGTGAACAAGACCATATCCATGTGCAGAGGGGATGGTACACCTCACGCTTCACAGGAACAGAAGCTCCTGTGCTCGAGTCCTTTCTGGGTCTCGCCTTATGTGTCTCTTCATCTGGCTGTTCATTTGCATCCTTTAATATTTTTTGTAATAAACAAATAAGCTAATAAGAAAACTGGCATCCTGAGTTTTGTGAGCTGTTCTAGCAAGTTGATCAACCTGTGGAACCCCCAATTTATAACTGGTGGTCAGAAGCACAGGTGAAAACCTGGACTTGCTGTTAGCAGCTGAAGGGGAAAAAGGGGGACCGTCCTGTGAAACTGAATCCTTAACCTGTGGGATCTGATACTAGCTCTAGGTAGACAGTGTCAGAATTGAGTTAAACTGTAGAACACCTACTCAGTGTCCACTAAGAATTTGGAGAATTGCTTGGTAATGTTAAAAAAATCATATCATCTCATTTAAAGTCAAAACTGAAGGTCTTACAGTGATTTAGGTCCCACACCATCTGGCACCAACCTCCCACCTCTGACTTCATCTCTGCTCCCCCCTGTCACTTTGCCCCAGCCACACCAGTTTCCCTGATGGTCCTAGAACACCCAGGCTCAGTCTTTCCACTTCCTGTCCTCTGCTTGGAACACTCTGTCCCTATATATTTACATGGCTCCCTCTCAAGCCAGCAGTCTTCATCCCAGTGTCATCTTGGCCAAGCTGTCCTTGACCATGGTACCTAATATTACACTCCATACAGGATTCCCTCTGCTCTCTCCTGCTCTGTTTCTTCTCTGGCATTTACCACTATTATCTAACTTATTTATTATAAAGTTTGCCTGTTTGTCATTGGTTTCCTGGCTGGAATATCAACTTCACAAAGGCAGGGCTTTTGTCCATTGGCAGACTGCTGTCTCCCTTGGGCCTAATTCTGCCTTAATTCCAGCGTTTCAGCAATACTGGAGCCTTTCCCACTCATACACTCATACCAAGGCAGTGACACACTCCCCCTAGCACTGTGGCTGAAGAGAAATGAACATGGGTTTCAGTGGTTCCTTTGTTCAGACAACATGCCTTCAATGAGCACCTGGCATTGTCAGTCTGCTCACTGAGTCCAAGGGTGCATTTTGTTGAAGAACTACCCACCAGGTAATGCCAAAGAATCCAAAGCAGGAATCATTCCTATAAGTAAACAACTAGAACAGATTAGACGCTGTGTGCCTATGGTGCTTACCATGGACTACCGCCTACATGTACCTTTCAAAACCAATAAAGCAGGTCCTGTGTGCACCCTGATTGATTTTAACGAATGCATCCACTTACTAGAGTTGAGCTGGGGAGACTGAGTTTGGTAGAAGAGTATCACTGGATCAGGCCCCAGGGCCGGGCCAGCGCAGCTGCGGTTCTCATTCTCCTGTCTTTCTCTCTCTCTCTGACTCTCTGAGCTAGGCCCTCTGGCACCCTGTGCTTAGAGAATTTTAAGTATTTACATAAAGGCTAATCTACTGCTGGTTACCTACCGATTTTAAAGGGTTTAAAAAAGAAAATATATTTTTCCAGAAATATCAGCTCTGCATTATCTAAATAAACAGAACTGGAGGAGAGGGGGCAAAGGAGTGTGAAAGATAAAAAACTAAAAAAAGGATCAAAGAATAACAGATGGCATTATACACGCGGCACTCTACTAAACACCTTAACCAGGTTAATTCATTAAATGTTCGGTATGAACTATGAAGTAGGTGGTATTTATAATTCTCATTGCTGTTTTCCAGTGGGATGACTGAGGCACAGAAAAGTAACTTGCTCAACTCATGGGCCCTCTAAGAGGGTCGTCAAAATTGAACCCAAGCAGTCTGGCTCCAGAGTTTGCCCTCTTAGTATACAGTAATAGATTTAGGAAATTAAAATAGCAGCTTTGGGGCCTGGCGGCGGCGCGAAAGAGGCGCTGGGCGCGGGGTGCGGGGCGAGGCATGCGGGACCTGCCGAAAGGGCCGAAAGGAAGGTGGCGGCGCGCGGGGCGCTGGGGCCTGCAAGGTCACCTGGAGCAGGTCTGGAATTGTTCAATAACAGACTCGCAGTTCTCGAGGCTCTCCCGGCACCCCTCGCTTTCGAGCGTGTAGTCCTCGTTCTCCATAGGAGCTGGGGGGTTGGCGGCTGGGCCGCGCACCGCCTCCGCGGAGATTCAGTCCCGAAAAAGCGCGAGGCCAGAATCAGCGTCCGTTGCCATGGCAACGCCTAGGGAACAGGCTTGGCGCGGGAATTCGCTGTCTGGGGGCGCGGCGGGGTCAGAGAGCATCGCTGGGCTGGCTCTGGCATCGTGTCAGTGCGGCTTCCTTTGTCCGCAACACTGGGCTTTCCGACAAGGTAGTCTCTTCCAGGGACGGCTAGGAGCCAGACCATCGCTGTAATGTCCCCAGAAAGCTGGACCCCCTGTAGATAATCCTGCGACATCCTACCACCTCCAACTCTTCTGGCCCTCTTTTCACCTTAGGCTCTGAGTGCAGCCTTTTGTGAGGTCCGCGCTCTTGGGGGGGTGGGGTGGGGTAGAGTGTGGCTCCCTGCTCTTTCAATAACACCCTTAGTTCCGGTGGCCCTTGCTTTCCTAGCCCTCTGCCCTATGCTACTGATCACCCTCAGAGAGATGTTAAAATAGTGTGCCCATCTAGTAACGATGCTCAGGACACAGTGAGTCCTGGGCTGTCAGAGCAATGCCATATTAAGAAAGAAGCAGGCGGCCCGATGAGGTGCCTACACCTGCCTGCCACTTAAGCACAGACATAGGTGTTCATAGACAAAAAAATTTATTTGCAGAGATTAAACAGGCCTACTTTCCTATTTAACCTAAAGGCCAGAACTAAGGTGTTAGGCTTGTATGTGGAATTAATTTTTTACTAAGTTCCTACAATAATAAGAGAAATATTTTAAATCGTGCAACTATTGCTTATCTTTTAAATGTCACTCACTGATAATTGACAGAGACACATATCCTAAGATTCATGTCATTGCCTGGTTTTAGAACTAAGTATACTACATTTCCATTTTGGTATATTGTCTACAGGAAAGCAAAACATTTTCTTCTCTTCCTTATAATAACTATGTGAAAAGAAGTTATTTTGATAGAAGCTCAAAATAGAAAAAAGGAAATCACTGTAGCAAGTATCACCACTCCTATATTTAAATACAAAGAGGAAAAGCCCCAAATGGTGAACAAAAATCATAATCAATACCTAAATAATCTTCTCTGAAGGCACAGTTTCCTTTGGAGAGATGAACAGAGGAGAAAAGTTACTTTTACTCTACAAAGATTTTTATTTTTGAAATCTAACTTCTAAGCTTGCTTAGAAAATGTTTATTATGTAATCAAAATGTATTAAAAAAAGAAATGAGTGTATTTATTACAAATTGTCTGTTCTTAAGTGATTTTTTATAACACAAAGCATATAAAATCTTAAATACAAAGAATTAAATTTCAAGTTAAAATTAAAATTTTGATCTGTTTAGAAGCATGCCAGGGTAGCAAAAAGAATGTGATAAGCCGTTGGCTACTTTACTAATGTAATTCTAAATGAATATTTTGGAACTGAGGAGGGAGATCTCACGGTAGATTCATGAGTCATTGGTCAGCCCTGCACAGTGTTTGTTAATGGATATGGACTGCACAGTTACATCATCCCACAAAAACAGGTACTGGACAAAACCGCTTTGTTCGAAACCTTGCTATAGCATATCAAGAAGGTTCAGATTTCATTGTCTAGTAGGTCATGTAATGATGACTTTTTTTCAAAAGTTTATTTAAAAAGTCACAGAGGTAGAAGTGAGCCATGGAAAAAGTGAGCCAGCTGGGCTCTGTGGGCTCAGGAAACGAGTTACAGAGACAAAAAGAAGGGCCCTTAGAGTTTAGGAGAAAGAAAGGCAAGGAAAACATGCCTGCGGGAAGGTGAGGGAGAAAGGCATGAGTATGTGAGACACAGAGAAAGAGAGAGCACACAAACACTGGTCTGTTTTTGAAACCAGTAACTCTGTAATTCTTCTCATCAGTTACCTACATTTATCTCTCAGGTGTACTCCTCATAAAATTGTTCATTTCAGATCATATTCTCACGTATAAGAACTGGGGGGTGGCACTGTCAAAGTATTTGTCAGAGTAAATCTGTGCTTCTTATTATTACATATTAAATTCATAGATGGTTTTTAGTGGAAATCTCAGGAGCTCCAGAGTAAATATTTTTAAAAACACACTGGCTCTGAAATTTACCTGCTTTAGAAGAGCAACTTTCAAACGTTTTCCTCTTGTGGCACACATAATTTAATAATTAAAATTCTGCAGCACACCCCCCCAAAATATTTTTTGCCAATCTGGCAAAAAATAAGTATAATTTTTTTTATAATTTTAAGATTTTTTATTTATTTATCTTTAGAGGGGAAGGGAAGGAGAGAGGGAGAGAAACATCAATGTATGGTTGCCTTTGTGCTTCCCCTGCTGGAAACTGGCCTGCAGGGAACCGGCCTGCAACCCCGGCATGTGCCCTGGCTGGGAATCGAACCGCGATTGTCTGGTTCACAGGCCCGTGCTTAATCCACTGAGCTACACCAGCCAGGGCAAAAATAAGTATAATTTTGACTCATTCACACCAAATGATTATTGTTGTGTTGACTATTGTCATTTATTTTATTTGAAAATCTAAGGGAAAAGAGGTCAGTGCCTGACTAATGAGACAGGTATTGCATGTTCTTGCGACAGATTCTTGTGACACACCAGTGTGCTACAGTACACCAGTTGAAAATCACCGTTTTAGAAATTGGGCAAACACCGGTGAGCCTCTCTTATTTTCACCGGTAAAAACTGAACAATGAACTTTTCAGGGTAGTTGGGAGGAGTATTCTATAAAGTGAGAAAAGCATGCATCACACAGACAAATATAAGTCAGGACCTCAAGGACTCTGTTCCTTCCTTCTGAACCTCAGCTGAGGAATACTTTGTTGAAGGTTTTCTATTTTTTTTAATTTGAAAATTTCAGAAGCTAAAATAATTTTTCTTGGTAAAGTAATAGGACATAAGGCACAATTTTAAAATTTCAAGTGCTTCTCTGAAACATATACATGTATAAATATAATGTGTGTTTATATGAAAATATCACCTACCAATTATTAAAAGTGATAACATCTTGGATTAAACAAAATGAGGATTTGAGAGTCAAGTGCTGACTCAAAACATAGTAATTTATATATCCCAGTTGGATATTATTGGTTCTTCTGTAGTCTAATAAAAGCTAAGAGGATTCAGTTTAGGTTTGTAATTTAAATTCCTTTTTTAAGAGTCATCATATGTTAATTGCTCATTTTTCTTTTATTACCAGATGTAATCTATAATTAGGTAGTACAGGCTCTGTTATATGAACTTGTTTTGCGTCCTGCTTCATCCATAACCAAAGTTCTTTTTTAAATATATTTTATTGATTATATTATTACAGTTGTTCGTTTTTTCTCCCCTTTATTCCCCTCCACCCTGTACCCACCACCCACCCTAATTTCCCCACCTTAGTTTATGTCCATGGGTCCATATAATTTCTTTGGCTTCTCCATTTCCCATACTATTCTTAACCTCCCCCTGTCTGTTTTGTAGCTTCTGATTCCTTATACCTTTCTCCCATTCTCCCTCCTCCCTCTCCCCACTGATAACCCTCCATGTAATGTCTATTTCTGTGCAACTCTTCCTGTTCTGGTTGCTTGCTTAGTTCATTTTTATTTTTGTTTTTATTTTTTTAGGTTTGGTTGTTGATAGTTGTGAGTTTGTTGTCATTTCACTGTTTGGATTTTTTATTTTCTTCTTTTTCTTAGATAAGTCCTTTTAATATTTCACATAATAAGGGCTTGGTGATAATGAACTCCTTTAACTTGATCTTATCTGGGAAGCACTTTATTCACCCTTCCATTCTAAGTGATAGCTTTGCTTGATAGAGTAATCTTGGATGTAGATCCTTGTCTTTCATGATTTGGAATACTTCTTCCCAGCCCCTTCTTGCCTGAAAGGTTTCTTTTGAGAAATCAGCAGATAATCTTATGGGAACTCCTTTGTAGGTGACTGTCTCCTTTTCTCTTGCTGTTTTTAAGATTCTCTCCCTGTCTTTAATCTTGGGTAATATAATTATGATGTGCCTTGCTGTGTGCTTCCATTGGTCCAACTTCTTCGGGACTCTCTGAGTTTCCTGGACTTCCTGGAAGTCTATTTCCTTTGCCAGATTAGGGAAGTTCTCCTTCATTATTTTTTCAAATAAGTTTTCAATTTCTTGTTCTTCTTTTCCTTCTGGCACTCCTATGATTCAGATGTTGGAACCGTTAAGGTTGTCCCAGAGGTTTCTACCTCTCCTTATTTTTTTTTAAAATTCTTATTTCTTTGTTCTGTTCTGGTTGAATGTTTCTGTCTTCCTTCTGTTCCAAACTGTTGGTTTGAGTTCTGGTTTCCTTGCCTTCATCGTTGGTTCCCTGTACATTTTTCTTTGTTTAATTTTCCATAGCCTTCACTTTTTCCTCTATTTTGCAACCATACTCAGCAATTTCTGTGAGCATCTTGATTATCAGTGTTTTGAACTGTGCATCTGATAGTTTGGCTATCTCTTTATCACTTAATTGTATTTTTTTCTGGAGCTTGGATCTGTTCTTTCATTTGGGCCATATTTTTTGTCTTGGTGTGCCTGTTATATAGTAAGAGGCAGAGCCTTAGGTATTGCCAGAGTGGGGCAACCCAGGTCACACTTCCTTGTGGCACCATATGTGGGGGGGTCTGAGAGGGAACAATGCCATTTGTTCAGCTCTCATCTGGCTTTCAGTCACTTCCTCCAATACGCACAAGCAAATTGGGCCTTTCTGGTGCTGATTCCCTGGTGGGTGGATTTGTGTGTGTTCTAGGACCCTGTGGGTCTCTCCAGCAAACTCTCCTGTGAGGCTGGGAGTTTCTTCCACCACCTCAACCCCCACAGGTTTTTTCAGTCAGAGATTTTGAGTCTTTATTTCCCAGTACCAGAACCCTGGGTTGCGTGTTCTGTCTCACTCCCCAGTTGTTCCTCCCAGTTTATCCACATGCAAAATGTGGGACCACCTGCTCTGCCAGCCACCACCCGGCCCGGTCTGACAGCT